CAAATCTTCATCGTGAGGTTCGGCACAACTTTTAAGTATTTACATTTTAGTCCCCAAACTTTGGATTCCTTACAATTTAGCAATTTCTTCAAATTTGTCAACTTTTGCTTATTTTCTTCGATCTCACCAACTTACATCACAACATCAAAATCACACATCTAATTATTTATCAATTACATAAACATTACATTATTAATTATTTAATTAACCAAAAAAATTATATCTTTATTAATAACAAATTAATTCTTAAACAAAACTATTAAATATAAATTAGGCAGACGTGCATTGCACGTTGCTTGTACCTTGTGTGTGTGTGTGTGTGTGTGTGTGTGTGTGTGTATATATATATATATAGAATCTCCTTTTAAAACACAAAAATATTGAGTGTTCCTCACAAGTTCATTTTTCCAATTTTATACAACGTACACTGCACAGTTGAAGGGATTTCATCTTTCCACAAGTCATGTTTTGATAATATTTTTGATATCAATTGAGTTAAGAATACATGGTGCAAAAGTGGTAAATTCTTATTTTCTTGATGTTATATATTTTGGCATGAAATACTCTAAGGCCTTCGGGTCGATTTCTATGTTAAATCCTATGGGATATAGGAATTTTTAATAAATTCCTTAAGTTATTGGATATTGCGATCAGTTTGCTCTAAATCTAAGAATGTTGGTACGTTATGTCATTTTTATATTTATATCACGTTAATAAGAATATGCACGTATTTTTACTTAGTGTTTTTCGGAATATTCACTCTTACAATAACTTTCAGATTAGAATGGGCTGTGTGGACAAGTGGAAAATTGACCGAGTGATGCTTATGACTTATGAGTTCAAGTAAAAGTTTAGAATGAAATTGCAAAATTTTATTTTTAAGGACACTTTATGTTAAATGTGGCACTCGTTATTTTTATGATTAAGTACTTGACGTTTTATGTTAAATTTTAGATTTATGATTTGAAATTTTAGTACGTAACTTGTTAGTTTAATAATATCGACTTATCAGCCGTCATAAAATTTGAATAACAGTGTATTTTCGCTTAAATTAGATAAATAATTTTTTTTTGGTAACACTTGAAGTCTATAAAAATGAAATAGATTTCGGGGCGTTACACAAAATGATAGGCTCCGTTTGATTCGCCTTATTTTCCATGGAAAATGGGAAAAATTTCCCATTTTCCAACTTTTGTAGTGTTTGATAGGCAAAAGTTTCTCGAAATTTTTTTTTCCACCTTTTTGAAGAAAATAAATTCTTGATGTTTTGGTGAGAAAAAATTTACAGTTTTTTTTTTTTTTTTTTNTTTTTCAATTGGAAAAAAGTCTAGATACAATGATAAAATTTTTTATCAATTTTATTGATAATTTTCATGTAAAACAACGCCAAACGAATGATATTCGGTATGATAATTTTTTTTTCCAATTTTTTTTTTTTGACAATTGGAACAAATTCTAAACCCAATGGTAGAAAAATTTATCACTTTAATAGATAATTTTCATAAAAAAAGAAGCCAAACGTATACCAAACTTTCTATATTTTTCATGAAAAATTATACCAATCAAACACAATTAATTACAATTTCCAGTAAAATAATTTCTAGGTAAACCAATTCCCTGTAAAACATTTTCTTTTAACCCATTTTTCACATATGCAATTAAAAGGACCCTTATTTAAAAGTTATATTACTAATTTTTTGGTTTAACCTCACATCCCCCTGCTTAGTTAAAAACATATCATTATAAATAAAATGAAAAATTGCAACGACGGTACCAAATATTTAATTTAATAACAAACTTTGTCCAAACATTTTATTTGTATCACCCACACCCACAGTACAAAAACTTTTAGAAATTCTCACCTAGAGTCCAAATGGATGAAATCCATTAGTTTGACTGTTAGTTAACCAAAAGTCCATGGTCTAACCAAATTTCGAATAATATTTTAGAGGGTAAATGGGTAAATTTACACTTTTTATATAAATTAAAATAATTAAATAATACAAAAAAAAAAAAAACTTATCCATCGAAACGTCTTGCGCTTTCTTCATTATACATCAACCAGTTTCAGAACATTAGTAAGTAATGAAAAAAAACTCCGAACATTTCAATTCTGCTGCTGCCAATGTACCATGCACTCCAATTCTTGTACCTTTCTTACAAGGGGATTAGGGAGAGATATGGCTTCTTAGGGTTTTAAAATTGGGGCTTTCTAGAATTTGTATGATCACTGAAGCATAACAGTCAACATGGCATGTTCTAGTTTTGAGGCGACATTGGTGCTGGAAGTTGAGATGGCGGCGGCCAACATCTGAGTAAGGGTGGTTTTGGTTTTTGAGTGAGGGGGTTGGGGGAGAAGAAGATGAGGGTGGTGGATGTGGTTTTTTTTTTTTTTTTAAATAATTGATTTAAGTATTTTTTTTTTTTTTTTTTGTGAAAATTGTAAATTTGCAATGTTACCCTTTTTAAAATTGGTAAAAATAAGTCAAATTTTATTATTCTGGTCATATGATGGTCAAACTAACAGAAACCATTCATTTGGACTCCAGGTGAAAATTTCTGAAAGATTTGATACCGTGGGTGGCACAAATGAAAAGTTTGGACAATGTCTTCTACTAAATGAAAGATTTGGTACCGTTGCTGCAATTATCCCTAAATAAAATTTATAATTTAAGACATGGCACATTCATTGCTTTTTTAACATTATTTATACAAAAAAAATAGTATCTAGTAAATAAATGGTGTTGGTTGAATTAAAACGGTTGGTTTCATTGCACATTATATTTACATTTTATTTTATGTTCTCGTAGTATTAAAAATGAATTAATTACATGGCAAGTAGGGATGACAACGAACAAAGTGACCCTTTCGAGCCCCACATAAGACGGAGTGGGATGGGGCAACCCATTTGCACTGTTTACTAATTCGTTTAATTTTTTTATATATAGATTTAAGTTAGATTTTTATCTATGAAATTTAATTTTTTTTTTCCAAAACAATATTCCACGAGGTGCGGCGGTGCACCGTCTACCCATCCCATCCTCTCCACAAAACCAACCCAGCAACCTGATGGTGAGGAATTACCTCCCGTTAGGGTTGAGACCCTGTAAAAGTCGGATCAATCAGATTTTTTACCATCCTTAATTGCAAGGGTGAGATGAAGGATCAAGGATTTGCGACTGAGCAATAGAAACATTAAAAAATAATTACAGGACTTCCATTTTTTAATTTAAGTTGTACTAGTTAGGATATTCAAACTCTGAACTTCCATCGTCACCATATTCTCACAACTTTGAAATATCTTTGTGAAATCAAAATAAATATAATTTAGCCAAAAATAAGAATAATTAATACATATCACACGTGGGTTGCTACTTTGTTGATTGATTGCTTGCCATTTCTTCGATACGTTACATTAATTGCCCAGAATTGACTGGTTCTTAATGGGTTGGAAGTGGGGAGATTTGACCCCGGACGCCATATAATAATATTTGATATATTATATTGGTCACATAACGGACAATTTAGTTTAATTGATTCTTTTTATCTTATCCAAAACGATATTTTGTTTTTTAATGCAAAGGATAATCGGAAGTAAATAAAATAATATAATTAATATGCACTTTTTTGATTTTGCTAAAAATCAATTGGAGATCCTTGATTGAGGAAATCAAGATCAACACGTCGATGCTTGTTCTAGTCTACTTCTTAAAGCTCGGCCTCAATGAGTGGCATTTCTTTACGGTTCTATCGAGTGAAGTATCGAGCCTATCCTTCTCCTTAGGAATATACCTGGTTCATGACTCGGTCAAAAACCCAACAGGCAACTTAAAGAAATCAATTCAAAAAGTAGGTTTTACCCAATTCTTGTAAGAAGTGGACATGGTGGACAAGATTCATGAACATGAACAAGACTCGGATTTCAATTTAGGCCCGTTGACTTCGTACTTAATATCTGTATTTTTCATTTTTTTTTCCCTTCAAATTCCAAAAGTAAAATAATCTATATTAATATGTAAAATTACCATTTTCAATTGGCAGTCATTCTCTTCTCAGAGAATTAGTCAATTCAGGGAAGTTGAATTTTAACACCGACTTATTTTTAATTTTGAAGTAAAATGACTTGACATGGGAGATTTTGTTGACTACTTTATAGAAGTATCGAATTGACAATATTAACACCGCCGTTTGGTATTGAATTTCCACCATCTCCAATTGGTCCAAGAATTTAACTTTTGTTCCGTTCAAACGTGGACACTACATTTAATTGAAATTGAGATATTGACCTACCCTAAATTTTAGCTAATCAACAATCCAATTTGAACGATCAAGAACGGTTCACCCTTTTTTTTTTTTTTATCAGAATTAGTTTTCGCTATTCGTGCACGAATCATCAAGTCTTTATTATCAATTCTTGGTTCACGTAAATCAACAAGTTTTAAACTCATATTCTTGATCTATTCATTTTTTTTTTGACGTAGGAACCTACAACAACTACCTGTCAACGGATCTCCGACCATCTCGAAGGGGCGAAGGCCCAACCACTGTGAGTGCGCACTAGGTAAAACCCATCATGTGCAGTAACACGCAAACCACACAAGAAACGTAAATTGCACTAGGCAAGTCTGGTGTGACGGACTCCATCGATGAAGTGTTGGCAGGAGATTTGAATTCATGACATTTGGTCTCCTCGTTCACCTACTCTACCAACTCGGCCACCTCTAAAGGGGTATTTATTCACTCATTTTCCAAGCTATTGAAGTGGTCACAAACAGTGCTCGTAGGCATCGCCCACTTAATCCTACAAAGGTATTAACAAAGTCGAATGTCAACTTTCAGCAGCCCAATTAGCTGGCATGTATAAATCCTGAACTTTATCCAATGATATATAAAATAAACGCTTTGCAGATTGCTCCAATTATCTATAAATACAGCTTGATTAGAGACCATCACGTTGTGGCACTCATAATAAATATTCTTTCTAAAGTTAACATCCAAAAATGGCTGCATACTCAGCAACCAAACTGTTCATCTTGTTTAGCCTTTGCTTTAATTTCTCGTTTACCGTTTGCCATGGAAGGACCATTCCGAGCCTTCCGGTCCGTGCAGTTAATCTTGGAGGTTGGCTTGTTACAGAAGGCTGGATTAAACCCTCCCTTTTCGATGGCATTCCCAACATAGATTTCTTGGTTCGTAATTCTATAACATTGTTATATTCATATACTCGTATTCGACACGTGTCGACGTGATGTTAACTTTGTTATATTATTAGGATGGGACGCAACTCCAGTTTAAATCAGTTACAATTGGAAAATATTTGAGCGCCGAAACTGGCGGAGGAACCATCTTAGTTGTGAACAGAACATCAGCTTCTGGATGGGAAACTTTTAGGGTATGAACCCTTAATTTTTTCTAAAGAATTGACAAGCAAGCAATTTTCTTCATCTATATTTTTTTCTTGGTTTCATGCAGATATGGAGGATCAATGAGACTAGTTTTAACTTCAGGGTTTTCAACAAACAATTTGTGGGATTAGACAATGCTGGAAATGGGATTGATATAGTAGCAGTTGAAAACACACCTGGTGCATCTGAGACATTTGAGATTGTGAGAAATCCTAATGATTCAAACCAGGTTCGAATCAAAGCATCCAACGGGCTCTTCCTTCAGGTTAGTACTAAAATTTATTGCAAGCAAGTTTTCAAAAAACTGCTCGAGTTTTAGCAATGGGAACATGATTCCATTCTTTGGAAACATTGCCAATCCCACTAGCACCAAGGATAAGATACCATTTTTAGTGCGTTCGAACAAATTCCTTTTATTGTCGTACAAAATGGTTCCTTATAGCACGTGCCATAGACAGCTAACCTTTGAATAAAATCGATTAACGTTCAATATGAAAAATTGAATAGAATTTTTACTGGGTCTTTAACAAATCAAACTATTTTAATGCATAATTAAAGGGGATCCTTAATATCAATATGACTTATTGGTTTAGTTAAGGTTCAGTTCTAGGTGGGTCCCTCAAACATGAAAAATAGAGATTAAACTAATTAATCAACAATAAATTAAACCATTTTCATTATTTTTCGAGTCTACTCATTTTACATATTTATTACAACATTTTGCCGATTGTCAACTTATCTCCACTCTCTTTTAAATTTAATTTACTGATTATATAGGCAAAGACGGAGGAACTTGTTAGTGCTGATTATGAAGTAAATGGTGGATGGAGAGATGATGATCCGTCAGTTTTCTTGATGACAATAGGCACAAGATTGCAAGGGGATTATCAAATCACTAATGGTTATGGCCCCATTAAAGCACCTCAAATAATGAAGGTATGCCTTTATTTTACCAAATTGAGTTCAAATTACTAGTTTTTCCCCGAGTAATGATATTCATGGTGAAAACTACCGATAGTCATCTTACGTGGCATACATAAAACTGTTTGTCATTTGATGCACGAGTCAATAAAAAACTATCACATTAATATATCAAATCACAAACTGTTATATGTATGTTATTGTAGGACAACTACCGATAGTCTTTACTACGAATAGCATTACTCTTTTTCCCCTACGTGAATGCATCAAAAAACAAGTTATGATACAACTTGAATGGTATTTCTGGCAGGAACATTACGACACGTACATAGTGGAAAATGACTTCGAGTTCATATCCAAGAATGGACTCGATGCCGTGAGAATTCCCGTGGGATGGTGGATTGCCAGTGACCCGATGCCCCCAAAGCCTTACGTTGGGGGATCCTTGAAAGCCTTAGACAACGCTTTCCAATGGGCTCGGTATTTAACACTTTTCACATTCCCGTCCCCCTAATGACGTTGATAAGCGTCTGTCTTCTTTAATGTTGTCGAGTTCTCATGCAGGAAATATGGTATTAAGGTTATACTTGATCTGCATGCTGCACCCGGCTCACAGAATGGTTTCGAGCACAGTTCCTCAAGAGATGGATTTGTCGAATGGGGACAGACTGATGACAGCATCAAAGAAACTGTCGATGTCATAGACTTTCTTACTGCCAGGTAAGCCTAACGAAATAAGAACAAGCTGATCTTTATTAATCGTTTGATTCGAGTAGAATTCTGTTTGTTTATGCTAAATTTGTTAAAATAAACAGATACGCAAAAAATCCAAGCCTTTTTGCTGTGCAACTAATAAACGAGCCTCTTGCATCTGGAGTTTCTTTAGAGACTATAACCAAGTTCTACAGAGCAGGTTATGATGCTGTTCGTAAACACACTCAAACAGCGTATGTCGTTCTTTCGGACCGATTGGGGTCTGGTAATGTGAAAGAACTGTTTCCTCTTGCAAGTGAACTTAGCAGACCAGTCGTCGATGTTCATTACTACAACCTCTTCTCTAGTATTTTTGATAATCTTACTGTTGAACAAAACATCGAGTATGTCTACAACAACAGAACAAGGGAACTGAACGATATTTTAACGGCGAATGATGCCCCTCTTATTTTAATAGGTACATATTTTCATTCATTAGGTACAATTCGAGCATTTTCATATCACTGCGTACGATATATTTAATACTGTGACGATCGAGTAATAAAATTAAAACTTCCAGGGGAATGGGTGGTTGAATGGCAAGTTAGAGATGCAACGAAGGAGGATTACCAAAGATATGCGAAAGCACAGTTAGAAGTGTTCGGTCGAGCAACATTCGGGTGGGCTTATTGGACACTAAAACATGTGAACAGACATTGGAGTATGGAATGGATGATCAACAATGGATATATCAAGCTTTGATCAATCAAGTGTATGTTGGGACGAACCACAGAGAAAAATAAGTTAAAATTTTACGTCATACTCTTGTATTGACTGTTTCTAGAAGGAGTGAATTTGTTGACTATTTTATAGAAGTTCGATATTGACAATAATAACATCAACTTATGATTTCGTATTCTTGATTTGTTCACGCTTGCACTACATTTTCCAAGCTATTGAAGCGGTCGCAAACCGTGCACCTAATCTGGCATTATCTCCTTAATCATACAAGATATTGACTAAGTTGAATGTCAACTTTCAGCAGCCCAATTAGCTCCATAAATCCTTAATTTTTCAGAGGTCAAACTTTCTAGAGGTCCACGCATCGATCAAAAGGACCCATTTTTTTTTTTCCTTTCAAAAACGGCATCTTCTAGTTTGTCGTGCGTTCCAAACGATGTCGCTTCCATTTCATTTTAATTTTTTTAGGATTTTTTTCCGAAACTACGCCGTTTCTGTTGACCATATAAGTACTTTCAAAGAAGTCTCTCTCTTCATTGTCTTCAACCCTACTTCTACTCAGCTTCGATGTTTCTTCTTGCGTTTTGCTTCTGATTTCTACGAACTCTAGATAAATCTTAGCATCTTGCCTAGAAAAAAATACATATCTTCAACGGGAAAATTGATCTTTATTTTCTGGGTTCAATTTGTGTGCCGAAACTAAAGTAGGTTTATACGTAAAAGCGAGAATAACAATAAAAAAAAACAAGAATAAAATAACCATATCGGCCTGATTCCTCTGCTACCATACCACCCTAGGCCCTAGGGCCCCAAAAAATTCTTATAATTTTAGTTTCACCACAGGCTGCACAGCGACCTTTTCTGGCCGAACCAAACAGAATTCGGGTCACCCTACTTTGAAGTAGGTGTACATTTGTTTTCTCATATATTTTTTTAGCAAAATTTTTGCTTCATGAAGTTCTCACAACGTCAAAAGTAACTTTTTACTGCATTCGTTTATGGCATGCTTTTCGTTCTTTTACGGCGAGCAATAAAAAAGATGATTTTTTTTTTTTTTTACGACATGTCTTTTATGGCGTTAAAATGTATGCCAATAAGTTTTCACGGCGTGCATAAAAAGCAAACTTTGTTGTAGTGGTTGTTTGGTTTGTCTGTTCTTTGTTAAATATTAGAGCCTAATTATTGTTGTTCCACGGAACGAGTTTGTGGATCGAAAATCTTGGTTTTACCTGCACCAACTTTGATGAATAATTAAGCCTCAGTGAACGAATGTATTCTTCAATTACAACCATTGGATTATAGTTAATCGTACAATAATAATCCATTTTAGTATTTATAGCATAAGCAGAATGATGAAGGAAACATTCTCGAAGCTGTTATCCGTATTACAATGAAAGATCATAGATATTTTCTATGTGAAGGCTGCACCAAAGGAACGACATTCAAGTGAATCCAAATATGAGATAATCTTTGTGTTCGAACAATGCTTGGCTAGCAAAGATGTCAAAGAGTAAGCCAGTGACGAAGGAAAAAATTTCATAGGAACCGACCACTTTCAGTTCCAGATGCAATCGGCATCGTCCAGTCACAAAAGAAAAAAAAAAAGCGCTCATCAAATCTTCCGAAACACAGACTTCAAAGAAGAAGCAAGGTGAAAACTTTGGTAGTGAATTCATCTCAGGGAACAAAAAATAAAGGAAATGCTATTTTAATGGTCAAAATGCTGGTGTTGTGGGTTTAGACATTGTGTATCAAAATCTGTTGGGGCAAACAAGTCCCACATCGGTTGTGGGAAGAAAATAAATCCATCATATAACCCAAGTGTGTTACTCCACCCATTACCAATTGGTTTTGGGATGGAACCTCACTTGGGCCTGGTGGTATGGGCTTGGGTCTTGGGTAATTGCTCTCAATAATTCCCTAACAGTGGTATCAGAGCACAGGTTGTGTGGTTAGATAAATCGAGGTAGTGGAAAATTCTCATGAAATTGTAGATCCATGGTAATGTAGTGGGTCCAAGCTACGATGGATTATCTCGATGAGTTGTGATTTACCTCGTGAGCCTTGTTTGAGGGAGGGATTGTTGGGATAAACAAGTCCCACATCGGTTGTGGGAAGAAAATAAATTCATCATATAACCCAAGTGTGCTACTCCACCCATTACCAATTGGTTTTGGGATGGAACCTCATTTGGGCCTGGTGATGTGGGTTTGGGCATTGAGTAATTGCTCACAATAATTCCCTAACAGTAGTATGAAAGGAAATGGCACAATGATGCAATGGCTAATGGGTCAAAAATTGAGTTGGCCCAAGCTGGAATTGAAGTCCAGCCTAAAGTTCTGTTGTTTTTGGTTGTTGGTGCAAAAACGTGTTTTCTTGGAGACTGATGAAAACGTGTTTCACTTACCTGTTGTTTGAACGCTCGTGATGTCGCCAAGTGTCACCTCCTACACCGTCGGATGGACGACCTTTAGGTGACTCGTATAAAAGCGGGTTTTCTAGGGTTTGAGACATACTTGGCTTCTCGACTCTTCCATTCTTGTTACTGCACCGTTTCTTCGAGAGTTCTCTTATCTTCTCTGTAGAAATCAAATCTGCTTTTTTGATTTCTTGTTTCCCTTCAATAGAATGTAAATCTTGTGTGATTACATTGTTTGAAGGTTGATTTTTGTGTGAACCGTGTATTATCAGTGAGAGAGTTCCTATTTTGTGTAATAATCTGCCTTGTCTGAGTGCTATACTTTTGTATCTTTAACTTGGGTTGATTCGAGCATGGTGGTGGCCATTCTTGAGCGATTGAAACACTTATTTGAGGACTTGTGGTCTATGGGCTTAATAAGAAGATAAGTGTAGTTATTTTTGTTCATCTTGGTTTCGAGTTTTCTTTACAGTTTATTGTATTGATTTTTTCTTGTTATTTATTGAGTACAAATTTCTGTTTACTTGAGTTATAATTTTCAGTTAGGGTCCGTTTGATTGTAAGGGTGGAAAATGGGTGGAAAGAAAATGTTTTACAGGGAATTGATTTTCCTAGAAAATGTTTTACTGGGAATTGTAATTAATTGTGTTTGATTGGTATAATTTTTCATGGAAAATGTTGAAAGTTTGGTATCCATTTGGCTTCTTTTTTTATGAAATTTGTCCATTAAAGTGATAATTTTTTCTACCATTGGGTCTAAAATTTGTTCCAATTGTAAAAAAAAAAATTTTGAAAAAAAAATTT